ACCTTCCAATTCAAATCTGAGACTACAGGGCTTTTTATTTTTTTGAGACGGAGTCTTGCTTTGTTGCCCAGGCTGAAGTGCAATGGCACAATCTCAGCTCACAGAAACCTCAGCCTCCCGGGTTGAAGTGATTCTCCTGCCTCAGCCTCCCGAGTAGCTGGGATTACAGGCGTGCACCACCATGCCCAGTTAATTTTTGTATTTTTAGTAGGGATGGGGTTTCACCTGGCCAGGCTGGTCTCGAACTCCTGACCTCAGGTGATCTGCCCACCTTGGCCTCCCGGCTATGGGATTACAGGCGTGAGCCACTGTGTAGGCGACTATAGGGCTTCTACTTAACTGCTCCCTGCTGTATCTTCCACACAGAGAACCTTCAACACAGGACCCTGGGGAAAGCTGGCTGAGGACAGCCCCTACTCACTCACTTGTTACCATACAAAAACTCAACATAACAATGTTAATGCTGCCGCTAATATAACCACTAAAACAACAGATGTTTGCAAATGTTCCCCCTATTCTCCTCCCATTTTAAAACACAATTTTGCGGGCCAAGTATGGTGGCTCAAATCTGTAATCCCAGCACTTTGGGAGGCCGTGGCAGGATTGCTTAAGGTCAGGAGTTCGAGACCAACCTAGGCAACACAGCAAGACCTCATCTCTACAAAAATAAAAATAAACTAGCTGAGTGTAGTTGCACATGCCTGCAGTCCTACTTGGGCAGCTGAGGCAGAAGGATCATGGGAGCCCAGGAGGTCGAGTTGGAAGCTGTAGAGAGCCGTGATTGTGCCACTGCACAGTCTGGGTGACAGAGCAAGACCGTCTCAAAAAAAAAAAAAACAAAACAAAACAAAAAACCGGCCAGGCATTGTGGCTCACCTGTAATCCTAACACTTTGGGAGGCCAAGGCAGGTGGATTGCTTGAGCTAGGAGTTCGAGATCAACTTGGGCAACATGGTGAAATCCCCTCTCTACCAAAAATACAATAATCAGCTGGGTGCAGTGGTGCATGCCTGTAGTCCCAGTTACTCAGGAGGCTAAGGCTGGAGGATTGCTGGAGCTTAGGATGTTGAGATCACAGTGAGCCATGATTGGTCTACAGCACTCCAGCCTGGGCGAGAGCAAGACCCTGTCTCAAAACAAAAACTTTTGTGTGATCAATACATTGTTGGAGCCACTACACACTGTCCCCTTGCCCTCATTAGTCTTGGCTGCACAGATGAACAGGACCCTGAGCCCGCCGCCAGATCTCATCATGGCTCTCCCCGACACTACCTGAAGCCCAGTTGCTGGATAGCTCAGGAAGGAAAGGTGGCAGGCCCAAGCTGCTGCACACTGATAGCTTTATCAGCGCCTTTTTTTTTTTTTGAAATGGAGTTTCGTTCTTGCCGCCCAGGTTGGAGTGCAATGGCGCAACCTCGGCTCACCACAACCTCCGCCTCCCAGCTTCAAGCAATTCTCCTGCCTCAGCCTCCCGAGTAGCTGGGATTACAGGCCAGCTACCCACCCAGCACCACCACTCTGGGCTAATTTTTGTATTTTTAGTAGAGATGGCGGTTTCACCACATTGGCCAGGCTGGTCTCAAACTCCTGACCTCAGGTGATCCGCCTGCCTTGGCCTCCCAAAGTGCTGGGATTACAGACGAGTCAACGTGCCTGGCCTGTATCAGTGCCCTTTATACTTGGAAGTCAGTTTTGCTGGATATAAAATTTTTGGCTTACTCTTTCCTTGAAAAGTCTTAATTAATCCATTTTCTTCTGGCAGAAAGCTCAGTCCTCAAAAAACTTGATTCCCAGGATGCCCCAAGGATTTTTTTTTTTAAAGTCCAGCACTTTTCCTAAAATATTCTTGGTGTTGGTCCTTCTCAGGCCCTCACTCTTTCAATGGCACCCATGTGTTTGCTTATTTTCAACAGCATCCCTTTTGAAGGCTTTCCATCGTTTTGATTTATAAAATCATCCTCATTTTTCACTTGGCATCATTTTTTCACTTTGTGTTCCCTCTAATTTGTCTCAATTTCTGAAAGGATTCCTGCATTTCTAATCTTTCTTGAGTTCCGTCACTTCATTTCTGCGTTTTTCTGACTCTGATTATGCTTTTCACATTTCATATCATTTTATGCTTTTTAGTTCATTTTAAAAATTATTTTTGGGCTGGGTGTGTTGGATCACGCCTTTAATCTCAGCACACTGGGAGGCCATGGCAAGAGGATTGCTTGAGCCCAGTTTGAGACCAGTCTGGGCAACATAGCAAGCCTTGTGTTTAAAACAAAATAAAAAATGGGCCAGCATGGTGGCTCACGCCTGTAATCCCAGCACTTTGGCAGGCTGAAGTGGGTGATTACGTGAGGCCAGGAGTTCGAGACAAGCCTGGCCAACATGGTGAAACCCCATCTGTACTAAAAATACAAAAATTAGCCAGGAGTGGTGGTGCATCCCTGTAGTCCCAGCTACTAGGGAGGCTGAGGCAGGAGAACTGTTTGAACCCAGGAGGCGGTGGTTGTAGTGAGTGGAGATCACGCCACTGCATCCAGCCTGGGCGACACAGCAAGACTCCGTCTCAAAAAATAAAAAATAAAATAAAATACAAAATAAAAATAAAACAAAAATAGTTTTTGAATGTGTTTTCTTTGGTCTGTTTTGCAGGCATGCCCTTCTGGCTTGCTTTCATTGTTGGTGGGAGTGTTACTCCACTCCCCAGTCTGAGCCTTCTATAGGTTTGACTCCGCTACTTTCCTGATGCTCAGTTTTATGGAAAAGTATTTCATAAACATTCAGAATGAAGTATGCTTCAAGAAAGCTGCTCTGATTTTGCAGTGCTCCCTCTCTGTTGTTTTGTGAAACGTTTAAAACACCACGTCCCATCTGCTTTCATGGCTGCCCTCATGACCCTCCCAGGTACTTGCACAGACTTGGTCCCCATCCTGCTTGACTTGATTCACTCCAAGTGGTGGAACATGCTTTATTTCCTCACTGTGAGGTTCCTTCCAGAAGTGAGACTTGACACGTCAGTCCAGGGAGTCCAGAGGCAGGGCCTGGTCTGCTCCCCTCAACCCTATCCTCTCCCCAACGGCCTCCATGTCCCCAGGCTCCAGGTGCAGCCCAGTTGGTCCGTGTCACCTGCTGAGCACACACTGGCCTTCCCCAGGGGTTCATGTGCCTCCCACTGGGGTTTATGGGGCCTCGTGGCTTCTCCTGCTCTCCCATCCATCAGACATTGTGCGTGTATCCTCTGCGTTCTCCTCCAGACACAGATAACCTATGGGTCTGGAAGGTCTGGCAACTATTGGTGGTTTACCCCAACACGCCTCTAGTTTGGGGTTTATGGGGATACTTTATCACCTAGTTTTGCTGTAAATGATGTCCATAGGTTTCTCTATTATTGGCTACAAAACATGTAACAAACGCCGCCATTTCAACCATTTTAAAGTGGCAATTCAGTTGTCTACAGGTTTTGGGTTTTGCAGTCTAGTTGTACTACCATCTTCCCAGAATCCCTGGCTTTCCAAGGCCTTCGCTTTTCAAGCAAAACTGATTCCAACTGGTTTGTTTCATGATGACATTAATAAGAATGCCTCCACCACAACTTAAGAACTGGAAGACAACCTACGGTTTGGGCTCTGCCAAAGTTCTGCAGAGATGGAGTATTAAAGGAAACATGATATATTTTAAGAATCATCACATTGGCCGGGTGCAGTGGCTCACGCCTGAAATCCCAGCACTTTAGGAGGCCGAGGCGGATGGATCATTTGAGGTCAGGAGTTCGAGACCAGCCTGGCCAACATGGCAAAAACCCATTTCTACTAAAAATACAAAAATTAGCCAGGCATGGTGGTGGATGCCTGTAGCCCCAGCTACTCAGGAGGCTGAGGCAGGAGAATCACTTGAACCTGAGATGGAGGTTACAGTGAGCCGAGACTGTACCACTGCACTCCATCCTGGGTGACAGCAAGACTCTGTTTCAAAAAAACAAACAAACAAACAAAAAAAAACAAAAAAACACAACAAAAAAGAACAAACGCATTACTAATGGTTTGGTGGCCCAATATAAACACGCTGCTGTTCAAGATACTCCATTTCCGCGTGGCCCTTTCTGAAGGTGGTTAGGAGACGGGCTGCAGGTTATCATCCTATAACCCTCGCTGACTTTCCAAGCTGCCTCTGGCTTCCACCCTGAGAACTGGATCGCCAAGCCAAAAGCTTGGTAACAGCAGGTCCAACTTGACAACAGACACAGAAATATGAGGACATAAAGGGAATCCAGGTAAAAGGCCTCTTCCTTCCTTCCATCGCAGGTTGGCTGAGTCATCAAACTTCAGCACAGCTAAGATCCTGCCTGCCTGTGGACACACTCACAGCCCAGGCCCAGTACGGACGTGCAGGGCACCCTCGGTCTCCCCTGCTTCCCACCCAGGTGCCAGCCAGACCCCTTGGCTGTGTCCTACCAAGGACTGACTCCTAGGAAAGTCAATGATCCTGCAGTTCCCAGCTGGGGAGGAACTGGCTTCTGCACCCTGGCACGCTGCCCTGAGCTGCCTTCTGGTCTGCCCTGAGCTTCACCAAGCCAGCAGCCTGCTCTGCCCGCTGAGTTACGACTGGAAGACCCACTGACTGGCAGGGGAGTGGAGATAAGGTAACCCAGGCTTCTAAAGGTCCACACCTGCCTATTTTATTTTCTTGGAGGTGCCTGATGAAAGCAATTCTTTTTATCACGACAGAAACATCACAGCAGGGATCGCCCCATCACAGTGATGTCTGATCTGGCTGCGTTTAAGAAAAACCATGTCATGTCTTCTCACAGAAGCAAGGATTTCAAACACTGGGTTCGCTTCTGCATCAGCAAACATATGGCTGTGACCTGAGGACGGGCCACTCACCTGTGAAACAATCCCGCACAAGCTCTGGCTTCAGAAGCTCTCTTCTTTCTTCAATCTCTAAAATTCTCCTAAGAATTTCAAACTATTCAAGGAAAACTGGTGTTTCACAATAAGAAAAAGACATTCTTTTCTTTAAACAGTTCACATTTATTATTGATAACAATAAAAAAATCTTTTAAAGACTATCAGTATTGTATTACCAAGTGAGGTAATATGTTTACAAAACATTTACAGAATTTGATATGCAAATAACAAATTTAGGAAGGAAAGTGAATTAAGACATAAGTAATAGAGGGAAAATCAAAGAATCATTAGTACTAAGAAACGGGAAATGACAGCAGCGTTTTAAAAGAGTGGCAAGGTACTAAAAGTAGAGACACGATGCCAACTGCATCCTCAAACCATAGCTGCCCCAGAATTCCCTTACAAGGGGAGTGAGCCTGGATTACTCGGGAGGAAACCCTGTAAGCATTTGTGCCGTCATGTGCTTTGAGCTCTTCACGATGCACTAAACTCTTTGGGGAGAAAAGAATGCCACTCCCGAATCAACTTAAAAAGAACAGATCTTCAGCCTGGGAGGGGGCAGGGGATGGCTGCAATTCAAACAGTTCTATAAACATCTCTGGGCACATGAGGACTGTTCAGTGAAGCATTTTCTTGGCAGCTGTCAGCAAAATCGCCATCTGAGACACAGAGAAAGAGAGAAAGAGAGAAAAAGCAGGCACCATCTTCAGGTCCTTGTGATTTGGGAATAGGAAGCACCGGGTGGAAGCAGCACAGATGCACTACTAACCCTACCTACTAACCCTACCTACTAACCCTACCTACTAACCCTACTGCGCTTTCCGGAAGCAAGGCTTCGGGTACCACTGAGGAGCTCGATCTCTAAGAGCAAACACACAAATGTGGTCCAAACGCAGGCGATCACAGCAGAGGCCCCAGGACATCTACAGTGTGCAGGCAGCCACTAGGGCAGACCCGGCCGGGCCAGAGGGCTGCTTGGTCCCTCCCCTGCCCTCCTGATCCCTGCACGGGGCGCACACAGCCTCCACACAGCTCTCCAGTCACGCAGCACCACCCAGTGCCTTCAGAGCGGAGCTGAGACGGCACAACCAGGATTTCCATGCCTACCACGCACACAGGTGACAGCCGCGTGGGGTGTGGCATGACAAACACGTCCTCTGCTGCACACAGAAACACACGTTCCATGTCCTTATTGTGGAGGCCATCCCCTATGCAACTTCCGGACAGATTCTCAAATAACCTGCTTTTCCCATAAAAAGCTGAAAAAATAAGGGCCTGTACCAGCTAGAGCAGGCTTTAAAATCAGGAATTAAACAGAAAATGTAAAAGGCAAACAAATCCCATATTCTGATTTGCTTCTATGAAGACTCCTTCATTACTCAAACTAAGTTTCTACTCCCCCCGTCCCCCCAGCACCCCCACCGTCATGCACACATGCACACACACAGTACATGCACGCACACACACGCATGAGTCCACAATTCCCATGTACACAGAAGCAAGGCTCCTACACACCAGAAGCCACCCTGAAGTGGATGAGGGAGATGCTGCTTAGCTATCAATAAAACCCCGTGGACAGTGTCAAGCGGCAAATGCGACTTGCTGGTTCCAAGACGGCCTCCTAGCGGCTGGAACTGTCTGGGCTCTGAGGACAACGAGCCACCAGAGGGCACAGAGGAGATGGGCTACACCGGGCTGGAAACTGACTGCAGGTGAGAAGGGCGGAGCGGAAGGAAACAGGGAAAGAACCCCCCACCCAAGTTCACATACAGAAAAATCCTGCTCTAAAAAGTATCAGAGAGATTTGAAAAGGACGAAAGAGAAAGTCACGTTTAACGATGGCAGCATTTTCCTTGAGTCACCAGGAGTCCCCGAGAGCCCACTTCAGGACAGTGGGTGGTGTGGGTGGGTCTGGCCCTGGGGCAGGGTGCTCCGCAGGTGGCCTCTGAATCCTCAGAGGAAAAGGGCCTCAAGGGCTGGCCCTAAGTCCACAGACCATCTCGACTGTGGCGGGAGGCGTGGGGGCCGCAAGGCAGCTTGGGGGCAGCGAGCTGGCAGCTTCCGTCCCGGGTGAGGAGGGGCCATCTCTGGACGGTGTCACAGGAATTCATTCACTAATGGACAATGTGGAGTTCGTTGGAAAAATTTTTTGCATCAACATCTGAGACCACGTCAATCCTTTAATTAGTATAGAAACTACTTTTCTTTCAAGAGAGCCCTTGTGCTCTGGTTTGATTTTGTGCACAACGTATACAAAATCTATGGCTATTGAGTTAAGTTAGGATCAGAGTTAAAACTACCTGCCAAGGTAGTTTTGGGATCAAATGACTACATTTACCATCTGAGAGCTATCTGCTATCTAGAGGTGACAGGAGTCTGTACAGTGTCGCCCTGGGCGGGCGGGCGGGTGCAGCTGGCTGTCCGAGGAGGGGCGGCCGTCACACACTAGGTGCAGGCAGCGCGCACTACCTGGAGAGCACGGAGCTGGAGTGGGACTGGCTGGAGGAGGTGGTGGCGGCACTCAGCTGGGAAAAGCCGCTGTGGCTGGACTCCAGGCTCGTCATGGAACCTCTGTAATGGCACAGGGAGGGGCGAGGCGTGAGGACCACCCTGCCAACCACCCGCCTGCCCACACTGCCTACTGGACTTCGTGGCCCACCCTGCTCTCTGCTCACTTCTCAACCCCACCAGTGCTTGCAAACGGGGGATGGACCTGAGTAACCCACCCAGGGGGCCGGCTTCCCACAGCCTGCACACAGACGGCAGCGTGAGCGAAAGCAAAGGCAAAGTCGGCTCTGTCTCTGACACTCTCCCTCTGCAGACACGCAGGGAGCCACAGTGCCACTCCCTCCTGGTCCCCCGAGCATCCCCGAAACCCGACGCCACTGCTGATCCTGCACACGGCGTGGGACTGCCGCCTCCCTCCAACCACGCCCAGCCGTCCACAGCACCTGCTGTGGGGAGAGCGGCCGCACCTGAAATCCTCCGAGCCGATCACCTCGGTGTAGTACATCACTTTACACTTGTGTGAAGAGACCTGCAGGGATGCGAGCACGTCGTCCACCCGGGGCAGGCTGCTGGCAGCGCACGCGGGCATGCTGTGGAATTTCCACTGCAGGATGTAGAAGCCCGGCCACCTAGTCACATGGGAACCCTAGAACGAGCAGAGCAGTGGCAGCTGAGGGCAACTCGCTTCCGACCCCTGGCCCACCACAGGCTGTGACAAGCGCCAAGGGGGACTGTCTTTAGGATTTCATGTAGCTACAGGAACTATCTCAACGGGATTCAGAACCTCTTTTGCTTCACTGGTAGGTTTGACAATGTCCTTCCCTCTACTGAGTGTAGTCACTCCCGGGTGCTGGGAAGCCCAGAGGGACAAGCTCCGTGTCCGTGGCCCTCACGAGGCCACCCCAGCCCACCCCACCTATGGAGGCAGGAGCATGGTGGGCTGGTGGTGCTCATGCTGGAGGGCGGGCTCAGCACAGCCTCGCTGGACCCGGCCTGACGTTCTCTGACATGCTGCCAATCATCCAGCATGTTCGGGGCTGAAGGTGCGTCACCCTAGAGAGAGACAGTCCGCGGAAAGCTCCTTCTCCATTCTCTCTGAAATTCGCGACTGTGGTAACACAGCTTAGCTGTTGATTGTTTTTAAAATGGACAAAAGATTCTTTTACTCTGCCTCTAAGACCACTGAAACACTGACAAGGCTTACCCCTGAAAACTGTAAAGGCAGCAAAATGATGCATCTATTACGAAGGCCAGAAGCAACCCCCGCCCCCGCCCCAAGGCTACTGTGAGCACAGGCACCCAAAATAACCAGCCACAATGTGAAAAGGGAACTGAAAGCATTTGAAACAAATTAGGAGGTTTGGCAATGAGAGTTAATAGTTCTCTAAATACTTGTCCCTCTTACTTCTATTTAGGGTGATTTTCCTTTGAAAAAGACAAATGCAACCCGGTGAAATGAGGCTGGGGGGAAAATCCTCTGAAGCCCAGCTGGGCCTGTGCGTGCAATGCCTTCCCTTCCTGTCACACGCTGCTTTCGGGAAAAGTCACAGATTCTGTCCAAAACCACTGCGAGGCCTGAACTCTTTCCTGGGAGACCCACTTGGCCTTCTGAGTCCCTCTGCTCCCCCAGGCGAGCTGCTCCTCCACAGGCAGTGCCTCAAAAGCTACACAGGGCTGCTCAGGGAGCGAAGCAAAGACTCCTACTCAAGACAGAATCACCAGCCGCACGGAGTCACAGATGCGCGATCTGCCCATGTGTGGTTTTACCTGTACGCTTTCTCCTTCTTTGCAGATCAGCGGCGACTCCACCATGCTGTAGTCGCGGCCCAGCTGCCAGACTTTGTCTATGAGCTGCACGTTGTTCCCACCTGGAGAGGTGATGCTGTGGGCTCCCAGGGAGTCCTTTTTGGCTGGCTGTGGCGACCTCTTGGAGTGATAGATGTTAAAGACAATGTCCCCTTTGCACACGTCGAAATCCCAAGTGATAACTGACGAGGCATCCACGATCTGAATGAGAATCTGAAAAAGAGGCAGCGTCAGGCGGCCACGATCCACGAGCACCAGGCCCACGTGCTGCCAGCGCACCGTCCCCACCAGGGGCTCCGGCATGCAGGTGCTGAAGCTGGGGAGGGAAAGGCTGAATGTGTACAGGCAGATCTCTTTCCTCAGAGTCACACGCCACCATCCATTCAACCGCTGGATCCCGCTACGTGTCATGCACCAAGCTCTGTGCTCTTTGTGACCTGCACCTATAGGCCCAAGATCTCCCATACACCATCTTCAGACACACTCTAAGAGGCCAGGTCTTAGTAACACCAAACACTGTGAGCTCACACACGAGTGGTTCAGAGGATTGCCCTCGGCTGGAGAGAACAGAAGGCCCTGGTGAAGGTGAGAGCTAAAGAAACAGCAGGCGGGGGAGCCGGAGGACAGCGTTCCCTGCGAGCGGGAAGCAGGGGCACGGAACCGGGCCTCCCGTGTGAGGCTCGCACGGGAGAACAGTGGCGAGGCTGGGTGAGTGGGATGAGCCCCTGGCATGGTAGAGGTGGGGTTGAGGCGGTCAACCCCTGGATGCTGAGAACCAATCGAAAACTGAACTTAGACACAGCGCCGACAGAGCTTCCCCACAGGGAATGATCAAAGTTAGTTTCAAAGATTAGTGAGGGAGGGACGTGAGAATTAAAATCAGCTGTGCAGAGTTCTGCCCTCACTGAAAACTCCACCTAAGGAAGCAGCAGAGCCAGGCCCGCGGCCCCTCTCGTCAGCCCACTGCACACCGCCTGCTGTGCCCTTTGGCAAGTGGCTGCTCTACAAGCCGGGCTCCCTTTCAATCCCGCCACTGCCACCTCACCACTGAAATGCCACTTCGGAATGTCCTTCCACGGCAGATTCAGTGAGGTCCAAGAGTCCTGTCTAAGAACAGCAGGCAGCACTATGTGGCACGGCCTGCTCTCCAGCAAAGCGGCTCCCCAGGCAGCTCTATCCTGAGGCCTCGACCCCCTGTGCTGACGGCACCTCTTTCCTGCATTCCCAGTGCGGCCTCTGCTCCAGCCTGCCTTTAGGTTTGTTGCCATCTCAGATCTGTGCTTTATTTAACAGCCAAAGCAGAAGTGAGGTTTTCACCATGTGGATGTTTACGATGCCCCCGATCCACATGAAACACACTGCATCCCAAGTTCTTGAAACATGGACAAGAGCGATCGTGCCTAACAAACAAGGAACAAGGACTCGGCCCCTGGAGCCTGCCCTCCTGGTAAGAAATGAATACAGAGAACCCTCAAGACGTTATGAAATCTGAGATTCCCCTGCGTGTGTATCTACAAGTAAGGCACACCAAATCTGTCTCTGCTCGTTCAAACCATGGCAACAGCATTCCCTTATCCACCTGCCTGCAAGCACCAGGTGAGCTGCTCAGGAAGACGCCCCAGCAGAAGCCACTGGCAGATGGCTGACCCAGGCGCCACCACGGCAGGAAGCAGGCCGCAGTCAGCTCCTGGCCAGCACCATTGCCCAAGCCAGCACCACAGCCTCACCGAACACTTGCTCTGCACAGAGCGTCACTGTCCTCTCCAACAACTCTGGGCCACGAACCTTGCCCTAGCTGAGAAGGGAGTCCTCCACAGGCAGTGCCTCAAAAGCTACACAGGGGTGGATTACCTGAGGTCAGGCGATTCGAGGACCAGCCTGGCCAACATGGTGAAACCCTCTCTACTAAAAATACAAAAATTAGCTGGCGTGCTGGTGGCGGGTGTTCTGGTAATCCCAGTACTTTGGGAGCTGGAAGGCAGGAGGAATGCTTGAAACCCGGGGCGGAGTTGGCAGTGGAGCCCAAGATCGACCAGCTGCACTTTTCAGCCTGGACTACAGCTGAAACTCTGGTCTTAAGGAAAAAAAAAAAAAAAAAGGAAAAG